AATAGACTGGAATAGAATAATTCTTCACAAGGTATCATCTGCTTTCACGATCCGTTTCTGGTCGGAACTTTTTCCTCTCCCCATCGTTTAGAGTGTGGCGATGAGTCGACGCTGATGTCGCTTTCGTCTCACTTTCAAAGAGACGATGGCGGTCGGAAAGGGGGGGGGGGGCGATTCAGTGCGGAGAGAGCGAGAACGGGATCAGAAGGCAAAGGTGCGGTTAGGTTCCCGGTCACTGTATTATGCGAAGTATCATGCAAAAAAAGTGATTATTTATTCCCCCTGTTTACATCTGGCAAGTAAATTTAGTGGTACTTACCGATTATAATTTTTGCAATGAGCTACCACGCAAGAGGACTGTATAACAAGATCACAGTTTCAACTGCGAAACTCTTAGTTTTGGAATTGTAACTGTCATGTTGTTCTACAGTTAAATTTGCAGCGCGTCCCGCGGCCACACGCTATACCCCGCGCGGGTAGGCAGCCCAACAGACTGCCCGCGGCGTGGCGTAGGGACCCCCGGGCGGCGGGCCTTGTCAAATGTGCGATTGCTGATATTGCTGATGAAGCCGGGAGAGCGCGCCAGAGATAAAGTGTGTGTAAGAGGGGGGTGGGGGTGGCGTTTGAGGATTCGTAGCGAACGCTTTGATGTGATGGTTCCGGGAGCATCGCGACGAGAGGGTAATCCTCCTGGTGAGCCACCGGCGGCCACCGGCACGGCGGCGGCGGCCTGGGGATCAGCCGCGGGAGAGAGGGCCGGGCTGCCCCGAGGAAGGGGAGGCAGGCTGCTGTATTGTTTACTTTTCATCTCAGATTGCAAACCGGCTGTCGGCGTCGTCGCCATTGCGAAAGTGAGGAAAGGGGTTCCCTCCTAGACAGCGAACAGCCAAGAAAAGGGAAAGAACTAGCTTGATAGAAAAAATAATCATCATAAATCCAACGTGGCCAGATTTGCCATTTGCCTCCCTGTTTTAGTGTGCGATGTACTAATAATCCAAGTGTGAAAATGCTCAACACTTGTAAGTGTTCAACTTTCTAGTCGGACACTTGCCACTCGGTAGCTGTACACTTGTAAGCTTCTAAGTGTGTAACTCCTCTTTTAATCACTCCCCACCCACTCAGTGAGCGACTTGTCTAAGAAAGTGTTGAACAGATGAGTCGAACACTGAGAAGTGCAAGACCACCGAAAGTTGAACGCTAGCAAAAGTGTACTAGGACGGACGGAGTTGAACACTTGCATGTGTTCAACTTTGCAGTTGCAGACTCAAAAGTTTCAAGCAGATGATGATTTTTTTCGATTTTTTCCTAAATAGGTTCGGTCGCTAATGCGCTCTTGTGTATGTTGCCCAGGGCCGGCGAGCAGTCGCAGCGCCGTGACGCTGCTGGCGTTGGTCGCGCTGGTCGCGCCCCTGCTCGGGCCGCGGCCCGCCTGCTCGGCGGCACACAGGACGAGGTAGCGGCAGCGGCACCGTCAACAAGACCAGTGAATGTGTATCGGCTCATCCTATTGGCTCAAAATTATTGACTCTAGAAACCAATTGTTCCCTCGCTCGCTCCGAGAGGGGAGAAAGAGGTTCCGGGCAGCGGAGTGTGTATGTGGGGAAGGAGGGGGGAAGGGGCGGGCATACATGAGCCAAAGTCGTGAATATAGTGATATTGACAGTTGGAATCCCAGGCCGGGGCGCTCAGGGGGCCTACTAAAAGGCTCTCCGAGATAGCCCCCGCGGGGGTAAGCGTAAGCCCTCGGCGGGGGGTAAGCTCCGGGTAAGCCCCGCCGCGGGTAAGAGTGTTGGCCTCGCGGTCCCCTGGCCGGGGACCCCTCTGGGGGACCCCCAGGTGGTGGCAAAGGGATGATCAAATCAAAGACTTTGCCGATTTCCTTTGCCCCCGTCCCCATCCGCTGCCTACGCCTTTTTTGTCGAATGCTGATGTGATGTAAATAAGGATTATTGTAAAAATGTATACATTTGTTGTCTCCTCCCTTTCGATGTTGGGAGGGGGGAGTGTGTGTTTGTGTGTGTGTTTGTGTGCACACATGTGTGCGCGCGTGAGAGTTGTTTGGAAGTAATGGGAAACGTAAAGTTGTTGGTCGAAGGAGTTGTGGTATTTTCCTATTGGCACAGGGTTGCTTCTGTCGCCCGTAGTCTTCGACTTTGGGTGGGCGCGCGCCGGGTCGGCCGGAATGTTGGTAGTCTCTATTTCTCTTCAGTTTCAGAGATTTTCGGCAAAATCCTCATACGTCCTACAATCTGTATAATTTAAACGCATGCCGCCGATTGTACTAAAATAACAGATAAAAACTAGATTTGATGTGTCCATTTTAAAATGTAAATGCCTATTTTCTAATTGCTTTGAGAAACGACTGTTTGGAAAAATACTATGTGCGTTAAAAGAGAGAAATGTTTTGTTGTTTTATTATTAACCGAAGCGAACCGGAAGGTGACGACTGTAGAACAAAAAATAAAACACGCTTTTCTGAATGTTACTTGAGCTGTCAATGTTTCCTGTAGACTGCCTGTTACTCAGAGGCGGGACACAAGCGGATGCCCAGCTAGAAATTGTTCGTGCGATATTACTGATATCGGCACTATGGCAAGGTGCACATGTGCACTGTTAAAATCCTACGAAACAACGCTTCGCAATTGCTAAGGATTTTGATCCTTTAACTACGAAGCATTTTTCCTTGCAATTGCGAAGCGTTGCTTCGTAGGATATTAACAGTGCGGAGAATGCACAAAGTGCGTTTCTGTGCGTTCCCGAGCGGCTAACGCAAAGGGGTACGAAGAGGATGTGCAAAATAAAGACTTTTTTTACTGTTTTCATTGACACTTTAGTTTACTGTATAAGTGCAATCACTGAAGAGGACATCGTTGAAAATATCCTAGTAAATTCACAAAATTTGTGCCATTTTTATTTTCAAATTGTGTTGTAAGTTTGCGACAGGCCATTCTTGTTTTCCAACCAATTCCAAGTCGATACAAAGTGCTTGTAAATTTGCAATTCCAAATTGTAATTTTTTCGACACATCATAGAAAATTTTCCTGTAAACCTACACGACTACTTTTCACACTGACAATAAGCATTCGGTGACAACAACTTTCTCGGTTTCTAAAGCTGTAGGGTAAACCCAGTCTGCTTAAAACAGAAGGTCGCTTGGTTTTAGCAGACTATAATGAACACCGTTTCTGCCTTTAAGGGCAAGCACACATGACAGTCATGTCTCGAACAATGTTCCCAGTGTCTGATGAGAAGCGTGGACGACGAGCAGTGAGGTACCGTGCACTGTCTCCCAGCCCGACAGACCTCCACGTGTTGCAGCACGCCTTGCATCACATTACAATGTGGCAGTTTACACTGAAGCAACAACAGTAGACAAATCGCGTTAAATGAAGAACCCGAGTAGAAGTTAAGTACCTCGTTAAGTACATAGTTGTCATAACGTACGGGCTGTTCTCGAGTCCGACATTTGAGGGTGTGGATCAGAAGGAGCAGGTGTTGCTGAATCAGTTTGTGTTTCTCGGGATCGGCTGCTGGAGGTGTTGGGTCCTGCTGCAGCTGCATATCTAAGAAAGTAGGCTAATGTCAAACAATCGACGAAAGGTACGATTACTCTGTAGAAAGTTTTCGTTTTTTAAGGAATAGAATAGTTGCGAGATGCTTCTTAAGGAACTGAAAGTGCATTGGCTGTGGCATTGTCGTTTTACACATGCAGTACATACACTGCAAACCCAACAGTTTACTTACTACTTTACACAAAGGAAGAGTCTGACAAGTGAGCATTGATTATTAGTGAACATTACTACTACCAACGTAAAACAACAGAGTGCACTGTAAAACTTTCATGAACTAAATTCTTTGCAACGTTACGAACAATTTTCATTCTTTGTATTGTAAAGCAATTGTTTGTGAGGCTAGGAAGGTCCTTACGAACCATCGGTTTGCATTACGAACTATTTGTTCGTAAGCTTACGAAGAATTTGGTCGTAATGCAACGCTTCAAAATCCTTCGTAAGCTACGAATGTTTTGGTTACAGTACGAACCTGTTGTCCGTAAGCAATTTACTGTGTGCTTGTCACAAACCTACAAGTGTGTACTTAAAAATGTGTGTGCCTTACCTATGGTAAGTACACACTTGTAGGTGTGGGCTTTCAAGACGACTCTCACTTGTGTGGAATAAGTACATAGTTAATGGGTGTGCTGTGTCAATTGTTTTACCAGGGTGACGGCACTCACTAACGGACTTCCTCCAGACTCTTCTGTCATTCGCGTCCGAGAAAGCTGCCTGTCGCGAACTGAAGCTTATCGGCAGTAGTACGTATATATATACTGCGTTGGTGATGTCAGTACCGGGCAGCCCCAGACGAGCGGCAGCACGGGGTAATCTACAACAATTTTCCTGTCAGACGATAAAACATGTTCCAATCTGCCGAATCTTCTGAACTCAACAGGAAAAGAGGAGAGCGCCCCTAATTTGAGGAAAACTCATGTTCTGAGGTCTCCCCGCGGAAAGCGCACTGGTTTTCATTTAACGATGAACTTGGCGATAACCTCGGGTTAAAAGTCATACTGTTGTTGTTGGCGATAGCTTGGTCATTGCCAATCAACAGGCCATACGACACACAGAAAATCGTTTCCTTGAAACTAGGGAATTTCCTTCGACTTGAATCAACGAAATGGACCTAAAATAAAACAAAAGAAAAAATATTTATTTGAAGAAAAGGGTGCTTTTGAAGAAAATTCTTTAAATCAAGCATTTTTTGTCGTAAAACCACAGAAATTTCTTGAGAACAAGATCAACATTTCGGTGTGTTTTTTCAAGGAAACGATTTTGTGGGTGCAACTTTCATCGCCACTATTTTGTGGGTGTATTGCAGATAAGGATAAGGAAATATGCCGCCAGCCGCTCAGCTGGTCGTACAGTCTCTCTAGATATGGGAGCTTGACTTCTATACCGCCAGTTGGTGACAAACTTTAGTCAGCGACAGGCATATCCCTTCCTTGGACGCGTTGTTCTCAACCACTGACACTACTCTGCACTGCATCAGTGTCTTCAGTGAGTTATCCCCCCCCCCCACTGTAAACAAATGTGTATTTGTAAACACATTACGGAGCCTGTGGCCTCTGTGAGACGGCAAACCCACCCGCATCGGCGCGTGCTCTGAAACACGGGGTACCTAGTACTACCACTCGCCCCCCCCCCCCTCTCCCTCAACTGCAACCAGTTTTGACCGGCTCTCGTTATGTTTTAAAGCCAGCGTTCAACAATTCTCGTTTGGACGAAGTTCTGGTCCTCTGGTTCGGCTTTGCCTGGGACAGCGTTTAGCGTAACCACCTTTTCATAATCGCAGCTTTATTCGCTTGTTTGACATTATTTTTGTTAGACATGCCGGTGCTGCAGAACCCAACACCTCCAGCAGCCGATCCTGAGAAACGCAAACTGATCCAGCAACAGCTGGTTCTTCTGCTCCACGCTCACAAATGCAGGCGACAAGGACAGCCTGTAAGTTACGACAACCATGTGGTTAATTTCTTATCATGTTCATTTATTCATTTAACATGATTTGTCTTGTTGCTTCAGTGTGAATTGCCACATTGTGATGTCATGCGAGGCGTGCTACAACACATAGAAGTCTGTCAAGCTGGGGAATCGTGCACAGCACCTCATTGCTCGTCGTCCAGGCAAATCATCAGCCATTTTCATCATTGCTCGAGGCATGACTGTCCTGTGTGCTCGCCGTTGAAAACGATCGGATGAAACCAAACGAGCCCTGTTTTAAGCTGCTTGGGTTTACCCTACTGCTTTCCTCAACCAAAAGGTCCCTCTTACCCAGTGCATAAATCTGTTTCAGTGATTACATTTGGACAGTAAACTACAATTTGAATGAAAACTCTACAATTTTGAAGAAATGTCTCTATTTGGCTGCACAGGAGATCCAAGTGTACGAATGCGGCATCCAATCATCTGCTTGCGAGATCGATTTTTCGAACACAACCCCACCCCTGGCCACAGGGAAAGCAGAGTTAGTGACGAATCAGGCACGCTTCCTCCCCGCCGCCTCCACGCACGCCAGGCGCGCGCCGCCCTTGCAGTCCAATCGGCCAAACGCACAATCGAAGCACATAGATCGGCCCGCCAGACCACGCCACGCCCCGCCACGCCGCGAGTGAAAACCGGAGCGACGGCGGGGAACTCCCTTACCCCCTCCCACGGTGGAGATATCTCTCTCCACCGTGCCCCCTCCCCTCCGCACAAGCCGCCCTGTTTCGCGAAACGAGATATCGGAGAGTTGGCCCCGGCGCGGCCCGAGCGAAATACAACAAGATCTTATATCCGGGTCCACCTCAAAGCAAGAGACCGTCGCTGCGTTGTCGCACTTGATGGATGAGGACAACTCTCTCCCTCCCCCCCCCCCCTTTACTCTTGTTCCCGTCCTCACACCCGACTTCTCCTTCCTCCTCCCTCTCCCTGTGTGGCCAATCCTACCGCTTCGCCAGATCGCGAGACCATTCCGCGAAATGGCGAAGCAGTGCACGAGGGCTGGCTGAGACAGACAGCGACTCCTGGAGAGGGAGGGCAGGGTGTTTGGG